TTTGCTCTCGCTCGTATCCTCCCAAATTTTCTTATGTTTTAGCGAGGGCTGTTGTGTTTAACATTTTAAAGCCGTGTAGCTTAGCATGGGAAACAGGCCCCGGAAATGTGATTTAGTCATGCTCGCATATTTTGTGTTTTTGTACAAGGCCCAAAAAACACCCCCTCAGCCTCAAGCTTAGGCAAATGAACTTCGCTCGTTTCTGTAAGAAAACTTGGTAAGTTTGTCATTGGAAATGATGAAATTCATATGAAACTGGTGCTGTTTGAGCAGAGGGAAAACATCTTTCTTTGTCACTTACAATCTAAGGAAGCACAAGATATGAATATACTTTTTAAAGTTACAATCTTTTTTAGCGTAATTTGTACATTTCCGATCTGAAAGATCGTATTGTGCTGATGACTTGTTGAATCCCTTCTTTTATTGATCTTTGTCAGATATGACAATCTCTTCCATTTCAAAATGTTTCACATTGGAGAGGCCGCAGCTTTGTGATTTGAATTTCCATGCGGGCTTCAGTGTTTCCACTTTTGAAATGACACCGTATAATTATAATAGTAATTTGATATTACTTTAATGTCTATAATATGCGTTCCCGTAGCATCATGTTCCATGCCAGTTCTTCTTTTTATAATTGAGCGTTTGATTTGGTTCACAGCAGTTCAACGAATTTTTCACAATTGAATATCCAAGGTAATTGGAAACGATAGTAAAGCCAGGTACGGAGAGACACATTTAGGGACAATTTAGTCATTAGATTCAAGGTGCAGTTGAATAATTGAGAAGCAATTAGAGGAAGCAAAACAATAATAAACAATTGAACACCACTTGGCGAATAGCAGCTAATTCTGTGAGACAACTCTCTGAGATCATAAAACTATTCTGGGTGTGTAAGAGAGTTTAGAGTGCTGGCATTGTGAATGTGTCTCTCTCTCTCACACACACAAACACCAGATAGATGTTGAAGCAGGCATTTTAAGTGGATGTGTGATTGAAGCTTCCGCTGCTGTTTTATTGCCTTTTTTGTGTTGTATATGTGATTGCATCAGTTTATTGAAGTCTTTTTTCCTTGTATTTCTGTTGCAGTTCACAGAATTAGTTTGAGCCTTAGAGGTCTATAGGTTAAAATGTTTAGTGTGACAACTGGGAAATGTAATTTGAAGAGCATATTAATGGAATGTTCAAAGAACGACGGGTTTGAGCAAAAGACTACCGTTCTGATCACATGAGCTCCTCTAGTTCGTCTGCCAAACTCTTTCTCACGTCTTCTTTTTCACCCTTCATCTTTCTTACTCTCATTCAACACAGATTAAGTTTTCCCCCTCCTCATCTCCTTTTACCCTCTCCTTCCTCCTCGCCCCTGTCCTCCACCATGTGTCAGGTGTGTGTGTGTACGTTCACTGCCATCATGAATAATGAATATCTTTTCTGTCTCTTCTTATTTTTGGCAGATGTTGAAATGCTGCATGATTTTTTTTTTTTTGCCGTTTTGTTTTTTTCCCTCTCTTTTTGTGTGTGTGTGTGTGTTGGATAGCGATGAATGCAGCTTCATTTTAATATGTTCTGTTTGTAGGAAGAAACGGCGCTGTAATCCTGTCCTCCAGCGCAGAAACACGCCGCTGCCAATCGTTTATTTTTCTCCTCCTATCCCCACACCCCCTCCCCCCGCGACCGCTGCTCAGGGCAAGACAGCGCTGCGTTTGATAAGTACACGCGCTCTGTGACACCAGAAATCCCTGTCAGTGTTGTTTCAGCAGACACATGTAGTTTTGAAAGAACATACACTCTGTGCTGTGAGCTTGTGAATCAAGGCAGAACTTTTACACAGTTTCATCAGAACTGTTTTTTTTGTCCCAGTGCTTCATCATCTTACTGAAATCACTGTTATTTTGTGAATGCACAGGAATGACTGGAATTTGGTTTAGCCATTAATGTTTTTAAAGAACCTACAATGGGATGATAGTTTTGTTTTATTCCAGTCTGTAAGTGCTTTTTATAATCTGAGAACAATTCAGATGTTTTTGTAGTGTTGGGAAACATTTTGTTAGTTTACAGAAGTGTTCAGTAGTTTATCTCTGAACCATGTTTTTCCTGTAAAACATTCAGCAGTTTACATGAAAAAATTAAATGTACAGTGAACAGTACAGAAGTTGATCTTTAAAAAGAACAGTTCAGTTTAAATTAGTACTAATAGTTCAGTTGAACAGTTTAGCAGTTAACATTTAATTAAGCAGACAAGTTTATCTTTAAAAAAAGTTCTGTTTAGCAATATTTGTTTATTTAGCAAATGTATTTGTTTTTTATAACGGGTCATATCAGTCATTTGAGGTAGTTAACCCCTTTTTCCAGCTGTGCAGGATGAGTTAAGTAATGGGTCCTGGGAGTTAAACGTGTCTTGGTGTGTCAGTTTTACTGTTTTCCTCCCGCTGTAAGGGTGCCACAGGGCACTGTTAGCCTAAAGAGCCGAATGCTCCTAAACGGCTGTTGTCTTCTAATTGCTTTAATAGCACCTGGCCGGTAATCCCAGGTAATTATTGAGCTGAAATTAGACAGCTACTTCAAACATCTCTTAAAAGGAGCAAAGACTGCCTCAGGAACTTACAGCTCTCTTATCATGCATGGCAGAAAAGTGACATGGAAAAGTGGCTGCGCGTTTTGCATTCGTGTGGAGCTTAACGTGTTCATCCCCGCCCCCATGTAGCATGTTTGTGTATGCAGGGAATACATGTGCAGTATTCAGTAAATCACTGTTGTTGATCTCTGATTGAATATGAAACCTTTTAATACGAGGATTTCGCTTTTCATAATTAAAAGCAAAGCATCCTAGTTTGAGGTCACTTAATAGATTGGGCCTATCACAAAAGAAACATCAGTAAAACGAAAGGAAGCTTTACTCATCAATAACGTTCTCCTCCTAAATGAGCTTCAGACTATGTAAAATGTGTTTATTTTTGCTTCATAAAATAATACAACTGTTGTACTTTATTGTTGGGTGTTTGTTTGTTTGTATTCGTCTGTGTTTACTGTTGTAGTTGCTTCCTGAGCATTGTTATTAGACTGTTTGTGTGCACGCACATCTCTTTCTAGAGCAAAAAGGAGCTCGCCCCAAGGGCCCCTCACTTGACTTTTCCCTCCTCTTCTTTCAAGACAACCTTAACCTTTCAGATTGTGCAGAAGGATGTATAAACACACAAATAACACACTTGCCCTTGGTGGCATTCATTTGGATCTTAGCATTTAATTATGATAATCTAAGAGGCAAGCATTTGAAGAATTTAAAGGAAGTTACAGCTGCACCGTTTGCCAATCTACTCAAATCACACTTTTAGGACGTCACGGTTCTCTTTATAATATCATTGCTTGTTTTTTTTTTTTTTAATAGTTTTTGAGTTTTTACATAAGTCCCCTCAAAAATAGGCCCCTCTTTTTTCAAGTCTGTGCGTCCTTGAAAGCTCCTGCAGTAGCAAATTGTGTCCAAAAGGGGGCGTTGTTAAGCTACGTACATGCGTGAAATGTTGACCAGCTAATGTATAGCGCTCTTATCAGGGGAATGACAGTCTCTCTTCCTTTGCACACACACAGATCCATTCGGATACCTGTCCTATGATAATGTATTTCTGCAGGATGAGCACTCTTTTATAACATGTTAGATTTGTATTTAGATGTGGAATCTATCAGGCTGCAATTCATCAGATAGCTGCAAGTTTTGTCTCAGGCTATTTGATTATTGTTATTAAAAAGTTCTTGTGAGGAAAAATGCCAGCGTGTGCATGGCAGAATATGAATTTCAACGATACGTATCCGTAACGCGGCGTCTCCATTTTTAACGGGATTATGTCCGAAAGTGGCCAGACTCCCGGTGCGAAGGGGTTTCTGCCGCTTTGTGTTTCTGGATTTGCGGGATTAGAATTCTCATTCCTCCATTTAGTTGGACTCTTAATCCAGACTGATACAGCTTCAAAGGCTGGTCTTTATTAATCATGTGTTTACATTATCCATGGTCATACACACTCCTTACAGACCAAAGCTCTCATTAGAACGAGCATGTAAGTCTTTTGTGTGCATTTTTCTGTGTGTTTGTTCAAATTAGGCAGAGGGTTCAGGCAGACGCGACTTTTAACAAAGCTAAGCTTACAAAGCTAATTGGAGAGAGATGGGTTGGATCTGATGTTCTTCATTGGAATTTAAAGGGATACTCCACCCAAAAATGAAAATTCTGTCATCATTTACCCTCAAGTTGTTGCAAACCTGTACGAGTTTATTTCTTCTGCTGAACACAAAGGAAGATATTTTGAAGAACGATTGAAACTTTGGCACCATTGACTTACATATTTTTATTTTTTTTTCCTACAATGGAAGTCAATGGTGCCAAACAACTGTTTGGTTCCAATCGTTCTTCAAAATATCTTCCTTTGTCTTCAATCGAAGAAAGAAACTCATACAGGTTTGCAACAACTTGAGGGTGAGTAAATGATGACAGAATTTTCATTTTTGGGTGGAATATCCCTTTAAGGACTAAAAGAAAAGAGAGACAATAAGAGGGTTATATGTGTACCAGTATGTGTAAAAGAGAATAATAATAAGAAAAATTATAAGAATAAGAGTATTTGTATAATAGTCAAGGCTTGGGCTAAATGAGTTGCATGTGATTTGGGTTACAGTTCATGTTTCCGTATAATTAAATGTTGTGTTTCTCTAATTCCTTTCCCTTTTCTGCATATATTATGCAACACATTGCTATTGTGTACAATGAAAATGAAAAGAAAAACAACAGAAGACATTGACAAGACTAGCCCGGCAAAGACATTTTCGGACCACTGTTTTGCATGCTCATGAATATTGTTTTGGTTATGTACACTTATTTATTTATATTGAATGTATTTCTTTTACTGTTATGATAAATAAATAGTCTGTGAGATATTGATATTGAAGTCAAAACTGACATATAATTGATTTACTTCTGTAATTATAACCTTCCCTCTTTTTATCTGTTTCTGTAGCCCAGTCCAATTCCCAGTCCTGTTCTTGGTGGGAGGCCGAATGCAAGTCAGTCCCTATTGGCCTGGTGTCGTGAGGTCACGAAAAACTACAGAGGTGTCAAAATCACCAACTTCACCACTTCCTGGAGGAATGGACTGGCATTCTGTGCCATTTTACACCACTTCAGACCTGAGTTTATGTAAGCCATGAACGTATATGACAATACACTCCTTACTTGATATGTGCTTCCAGTGCATGGGTGGTGATGCAACTTACCCCCTCTGTAAAGGGAGAGTTCAGCCAAAAATTAAAATGGTGACATTTTGTTTTCTATTACACATATTGAAAAAAATCATATGGGTTTGGAATGTCATGTGGGTGAGAAAATGACAGAAATTACATTTATGAGTGAACATGTTAAATGTTATGTCAAGAAGAAAGTTGACTATTAGTTGACAACCAAAACAACTTTTAGCCCACAACTACCATTGGCAAAAGGCTTTAAAATGAATCTTTTGCCACAAATGATGTACTTGGATTTATACACTGCCAAGTCAATAAAATGGAAAAGATATATTTTTAATCTATAGATACTAAAATAGATAGATTTATTAAATGGAAAAATTCCTTTTCCCATAAAATGCATTTCATCTACCATGTAGGAAATGCACTTTTACATGCAAAAAACCCCCCAACACTTTTTATCATTTTGTATCATTACAAAAAGTAAACCATCTCTCAATCACATTGACAAAATTATAGTATGCACATTTTGTTCGATTAAGGGGGTGACAATTTGTCTACTGACACATATTACACCTGTCTCTCTATAGATGTTATTATAGTAACTCTTTACTCATATAACACTATTAGAGCTGTAAGAGTCTCTTGAATAAACAGTACTCAGTTTTACAACAAAAAAAATGCCTTATGACACTATGGAGATTCACGGTTTTAATTTGATTGTTCTTTTTAATGTTAACCCATTATAAGCTGTTGCCTTTGATCAAAATATTCATCAAATGACTCATTGACAGATACAGCCCTAAACTCTATGTATACACAACTCACTTATTTCACCTTTTTCTTTCTTTCTTTCTCTCTCTCTCTCTCTTTGAGAATCTCACTGTGTGTGTGGGGTCTAATATGGTTTATGATGGAGATTTAATCCCTCTTTCTTATTTCTGAACATTTTCTGTGTTTGGTCTCATCAGGAATGACTTAAATCCTCCTTAATTACTACACTTACAGCAGATTCATCACAGTGCTGACAGCGCCACGGCCAACCACCCTCTGGGTTTAGCATACGCTAAAGTATCAGGAATCTGGCCGCCATCTATTTAAGGAAGAGATTGACTGATTTATTATCTGTTACTTTTGCACTGATTTCCATGCATCAAGTATTTTTTTTTACCTTTCCTCTGTACTTTTCACACACACTGGCCTTAAGTGACAGCCTGCATTTAAAATGTGCCTTGTTTTGCCTAATGTCATTATGTGCATTGTTGATCAGTGATGATCAAAAGATTTTTTATATATATATATAAATCTCTGCAATGATTTTACTATACGGTACATTATCATAGACTTTTTCTATTAATAGAGTTAAAGGAAAAGGCAACAGCTAAATAAGGCAATATCCAAAATTGACAGTCCTTTACTTCTCCTACACCAGAACTTTATAAAGAAAGGATTGATCTTCAGACCCTGTATAATTTAATGTCTTCAAGAAAGCTTCTTCTTCAGTCATGATATTTTTTTTTTCTTTGAACACAGTGATAAGGCTGGCTGACTCTTAGCCCATCAACTTAATTCCAGATCATCAGCACAACATATTTCCCAAATTGTAGATGATGGGGAATGAACTATTGAACCCCTTACAATTAATAACATTTTTATGAACTTTTATTCAAGATTTATAGAGTGGATACATCTTCTATATACTTCTCCAGTTGCTTCAGTGGTTGGGTCTCCATTAAGCCCCCTTTTGTTTACAATTGCAATTGAACCACTGTCTCTGATATTAAAATTGAAACTGATATTAAAAGTGTTGAATATAAGCTCTCATTATATGCGGATGACTCGCTTCTTTACATTTCAGATCCTCTATCATACATCATTGATATTATCAATGTCATGCACGATTTTGGAACTTTCCCGGGCTATAAGTTGAATATCTAAAAGTGAATGCATGCCTGTTGACATGCATGGTTTATCTTAAAGCATATTAAAAATACCTGGTAGAAACATAAACACCATCAAAAGCTTGATTTTTACCACAGGGGGACTTTAACTATTGCATAATTATTATTATTTTTACATTTATTTTAGCATTATTATTTATTCATTTTCATTATCTTTTGTACTATTACAGTTTAATTTACATCCCCTAAGGCAGTCTGTCCTGGGTAAGTTTGGTAGGGATTGAAAATGTAAAAAAAAAAAATATTGTAGTATACTATTCAAGATAGAATCAAATCTCAGTAAATTAACTTTACAGTATTACCAGCTGAAAATGCAGTTTGACTGGATGCGTTTATAAATGCCGTTTCATGTGGAGAAAGGCTTTTAAAACACATTGTGCCTTCGGGGACAGTACCCAGCCCACATCAAGGTTTAAATGACATGTAGTGAATGCTTATGATAAAAGAAAAATGAAGGATATTTTCCATTTTTAGAGTAGCCCCACTACTGTTTCCCGAGCTAAAGAGAGGAAAGACCCCAGGCGCACAGTGGGTATGGTGATGGAGAACGAGAGATGAAATGTTTTAATGTGTTGAGTGCTTGAGTAAAGGGTGTGTGTGTGTGTCTAATTTTGCTTGCACTCACACACACTCTATTAGTTGTGTTGATTGCAGAGCTGTGAAATTGCATGTTACAGTTCTACAGCCATTACATGAGATGCATATTTAAAGCTAACTCTCTCCCTCACGCTGTTCTTTCCTCCCTCCTAGTGACTACAAGGCTCTCAATCCTCAAGATATTAAAGAAAACAACAAAAAGGTAAATGCTGCACACTCTCTTTCTCTCTCCGTTTGTTTGTGCATCAGTAATCCTCCTCATAGGTGATTTATTTTGTTATAAATCTGATTCACTCCCACCCAGCGTTCTCTAATTGCCACTTTTAGAATGCGGCTCCCCTGCCGACACTGATGGAAAGAGTGTATGTGTGTGTGTTTTTGCTCGTGTTTGTGGGGATGGAGTAAGTCACCTGGGAGTCGTAAGATCATAATTCATAAACATACTATAAATAAACTTTACAGGTATTCTTCACAGAGAAAGAAGAAAAGAGAGAGAAATAAAGAGATAAAAATCACACACTTAGAGTAAAAATGAGATCTAAGCAGAAGACACACACACTCCGTAAACTTGTGAGGAACTCCATTAACTTCAGTTGTTCTTAATTTAGTTATAATTGTTGAGACACGACTCAGGCCCTTATAGTTTTTTGAATTATTATTTTTATTATCCTTATCATTATCACATATATAAACAATTTACACACACACACACACACACACACACACACACACACACACATATATATATATATATATATATATAAATGTAAATGTGTGTATATATGTATGTAGTAAAATATTATTTAAAAAAAATCTATTTCAATATATTTTAAAAAGTAATTTTATTCCTGTCATGGCAAATCCTGTGATAAATGTAAGCAGCCATTACTCCAGTCTTCAGTGTCACATGATCCTTCAGAAATCATTTTATTATGGATTTGCTGCTCAACTTTTCCTATTATCATCAATTTTGAAAACCGCTGTGCTGCTTAATATTTTTGTGGAAATCGTGATGCATTTTTTCAATTTTCTTTGGTGAATAGCAAGGATTTATTTTAAAAAAATGTAACAATGTTGAAGTCTTTACTGTCAGTTTAATGCATCCTTGCCACATAAAAGTCTTAAAAAAGAAGAAAAAACACTAAACCTTAAACTTTTGAATGGTAGCATAAAAACTAAAGCCCCTGCACAGATAATGATAATAATAATAACGGCCATACTGCAAAATCAATGCAGAAGTTCTCAGTCCTGATCCTCGAGATCTACCTTTCACACACTCTTCCTTTCATTTTCAGCTAAACTTATTTATCTACTTCTCACTTTCTCCCCATCTCTATTATTGTTTTACATTATACTGTGTTTCCATTCATTCAAGAATTTTCAGTCGGATGTGCTCAACAAATGAGAGCGAGAGAGAGAGAGAGAGGAAGGTGTGGATATTTCTGTCAACTCTTAAAATCCTGTTTAAATAAACCGCCAGGTGGCTGTGCCAACAAGGATTATTCCAAGCATCTCTCTTCCTTTCTGTCTCCCTCAAAACACGCACATAATGTACAGCAGCGCACGACATGAAACAAATGTATATTTGCTGAAGAGTTGCTTCCTGGATTTGTTTGGATTTGTGGATGTATAAAACTTAATTCCTCTGTAATTCCGCTCCATTGATTGATCACTGTATTCTGGAGTGCTGAAGATTATCTCTTATTTCAGCCCTCAGATTAACTCCATTTAGACTATATTAGGTGTTTTTAATGTGCTCCTTGCGCTCTCCCACCATTCCTTTCATCTGTCATCACTTTATCCCTGCACTCAATACCTGCAGTCACTTCCTGCCTTAATTTCCTGCCCTCTCGTTCAGTGACTATCATATACTCAATTTTCGTCTTTCCAACACAGCAAAAGTGTGCGTACTCTCGCTCTCTTTGAACGATGAATGACTATCCCGAGCTGAGGAGGTTAAGAGCACTCTCTATACAGCCCCGAACACACATTTATATAACTGCATTCATTTCCATGTGATAGAATCAGCGCGACCCTCTCTGGCACAGCCATGATTGCAATAATCTCCATTGAAATATGACAGATAAGAGCAATCAATAGCAGAGGGGAGAGGAGGTTTGGTCATACAGGCAGTGAAAAGAATTATTTTCTCTGTGTGTGTCAAGAGAGAGACTAGCAGTAATTTCCCATGATATCTGATCTGTGCTTGCACGTGTGCGCCTGCGTGTATGTGTTCCTGTGTTCCTCGATAAATGTGCAGACGGGGGGGGGGAGCCCCTTGGCTGTGTGTGTGACTGACAGCGATGGATACCTGTCAATCATTCAGCGATGTCATTCACAAAACAAAATGCTTTTCATTGTCCATTTAGCGTGGGGGAGGGGCCGACAGACTGGAGCAGGAAGAGAAAGTCTTAAACACACAATCGCACCGTTCACACGGGTTATTAGTGCTGCTGCATCATTTATACACTGAAAGAGCAAACAGCACATTTCTGTCAGTTGAATAAATAGATTTGGTAGTTGTTGACACTGTACATCGGAAGTGTAATTTTAGGGTTAAATCACACTCGCACACAATCTGCTGTTTACATGGTGTATTTATTCGATTTGAAGACTAGAACAATGAAACTGAGGGAATCCACAGGCACTTGTTGTGCTCCCTGTTAACAGGCATGAATACAAACACTTTTTATAATCTATATAATTGAATTATATTATTTTTAATTTTACAGATTAATAATAAATACTTTTTCAAAATGTCCTAATTTTATTTTATTATACACCATTTCAGGATATTAGAATGATTTCTGAGGGATCATGTGACTGAAGACTGGAGTAATGATGCTAAAAATTCAGCTTTGTCATAAAAGGATTAATATAATTAATTAAACACTATTTTAATTTGTAATGATTATTCACAATAGATTGCTTTTTTTTTACTATAAAGTTGTTTTTTTATGCAAATAATGTTATTAAACTGTTTTTTCCATAGTATGTTTATTCCTGCCAAAAACGGATTGTGTAACGTGGAAAGAAAATGAGATTTGGACCTCATTCAGCTGCAGTGTGAATGTAGTTTAAGTTTAAGAATTTCAATCAGACACTTTAATTTTCGTTCATTTCACCAATTATCCACTCTTTCTTTTGAGTTAAAACCCAAACAACACATACCTGAAGACTCTTTGTTTTCCCACCCTTCTTCGTTCCCCTTTTTTCTATTCAGCCGTCTCTACCTTACATTTGCCTTGCTCTGCAAAGCTCTGCGTCACCATTGTTGGCCTCCAGCAAACAGGAAAAAGAGAAGGCACGAGAGAAAGAAAGATGAGATTAATTGTAAATTGAGAATCGGCTTACCTTTTGATTATCCCTCCCCTCCCTTTCTCTTGCTTTCTCTCTCTCTCGCTCACGCCAATAAAAGGGACAACCCTGATAAAGTCAGTAGCTGGGTAAGCAGCAGACGTTGAGACAATAGTCAACACCGGTCAACAGGCTGAATTCTCTCGGCCATCAGCTCGGCTCTGATAGCAGCTCTGATAAGCCCAATATGGGGGAGGGCGAGACAGATGCCTAATTTGTAGGCTTTGCTTTATACTGTTGTATTCTCAGATTCTTAAGAGAAAGAGAAAGTAACTTTTCTTTCATTCATTCGGTGGATTACCGTGATAATGTCAGCGAGTTTACTTTCACTTCTTCCTCCGTTTCTCTCTCTCCCTCCCTCCCTCCCTCTATCTCCCGATCAGGGATTGAGTTTGGCTGTTTGATTATCTGCCTGTTCTCCTCAACCGGACAAATCAGTGCAATTATACTCACTGCGGAGAGAGAGAGAGAGTGACGGAAAAGGGGAAAAGTGAGAGAGAAAGTGAGGGAGATGGAAGGAGAGAGAGTGGGAGATATATGCGATAAGACTGAGGCAGGATTAGTTTAGTGTTTCTTGGTATCGTGCTCTCTTATCATGGAGAACCATCCTTGACATTAGCTGTCACCGCCTGCCGCATCCTACTGATCCCAGCTTGTCTTATCCCAAATCTAATTCCTGCATGCACCCTACACCCCAACTGTTTCTCCTTCCCATCACCCAACAACCCTCTTCCTTTTCACCCTTTACCCTATCTTCTCCTTTTCCCTTCATCCTATACTTTGGCGTTCTGTCCCACCCTAAACCCTGTTGTTTACCCTTTCACCCTTCATTCATTTTCACCACTCAACATGCACCGTCTGTCCCTTTCACTTATATGCTACCGATTTCTCCCTAGTTTACTTTACTACTTTATGTTTTCATCATACCTGACATTTTCCCCTACTGTATATTCTCTCCAAACCCAACCCTTTCACCTCACCCAAAGTAGTCCAAATTAACACCCGCCGTGCTCCAAATACATGTTGGAATTTGGTAAATCAATAAAAACCTAACAATCATGTGTTCTATTGTGTATTAGTTTTAATAATTTTTTTATAAAACGATTACCTGATTTGATTTTCCTGAATTTGAAATGTTTATTTTTTGTTTTTAAGAGTTATAGTCTGAACCAGAATTACATTTTTTTAACTAGTTGCTTTTCAGATACAATGTTGTTGTTTTAGTGTGTTATGAAGAAATTCCTTTTCTAGTCCGCCAGTCCTTGTTTTATTTACCCTGTTTCATTTGATACTGTCCTTTATTTTCTGTGCTTTTACTTAAACATGATCTCTTTTTGTTTCTGCAGGCATATGATGTTTTTGCCAGTCTGGGAATCTCTCGGCTCCTAGAGCCGTCTGACATGGTTCTGCTGGCGATCCCGGATAAGCTGACAGTGATGACGTACCTGTATCAGATCCGGGCACATTTCAGTGGTGAGGAACTCAACATTGTGCAGATCGAAGCCAACAGCAGTCGTAGCACGTACAAAGTTGGAGATTTCGAAACAGACACAAACAGTTCTATTGACCAAGACAAGTTCTATGCCGAACTCAACGACATGAACCGTGAACCCACTGATCAGGATGTCGCAGAAAGTAATAGTGAGCATGGTGAGAAAGAGGAAGTGAAGTCGGTCGTGACAGGCGGGGGATCTGGTTCTCTGTCTGTCTCACCTGGTGAAGTTTTAAAAGAAGTAGCTCCATCTTTACGGGTGTCAAAAGCAGGCCGCGATTCTCCAGCAGCTCCGACGATCACAGAACTTCATCCACGACCCGCCCAGAGCACCAGAACCAGCCTGGAGACCTCCACCAGCCATCCTCCTTCTGCAGAACAGAAAAAGCTCCTCAAAGCAGATTCACTGGACTTGGTTGACCTGTCTCACAGGCTGGAGAGAAGGCAGTCGGGTGGGTTGACCACGGCTGAGACCAGAGTCTCCAGGGAGCAGCACAAGGCCCCACAACCTGCCGAAAAACAAACTGAATCTGGGCAGACCGGGTCTTCTCTAGCAAACACACACAAACTGGGCTTCACGTACAACAGAGACGCCGATCTTATCAAGAAGAAGAGAGAGAATTTGCGCCACTCGGAATCTGACAGCACGTCAGACAGCAGTGCCCAGACCAACCACACACACACACCCGGTAAACACACACAGGTAAATGTCAACACACACACGCATGCTTAGATATGCACATATATCTGAATACAAAATGACAACATCTGTCTGACTGCAGTTCTGTCATTCTGTCTAAACTTTTTTTGTTGTTCTATCTATGCGTGTCTCTCTTTAAAGTCTATAAACCTTATGTCCATCTTTTCTGTCTGTCTATTTTCTCTATCATTCTATCTGTCTATTTATTCCTTTTTCTGTCATTGGCTCTATCATTCTGTCTTTTTTGTGTCTGTCTGTCGTTTGTTCTATCATCCGACTATTCTTTTTAGCTGTTGTTCTATCTGTCACTGTCATTCTATATTTAATTTTCTAGGTGTATAAACTTGTCTGTTTGTTCCGTTGGTCATTATATTGTTCTAGCTATCTGTCTTGTCTATGAGTTTGGCTTGTCTGTCTGTATATCTATCTATCTATCTATCTATCTATCTATCTATCTATCTGTTTGTCTCTTTCTATCTTTTTTGATAGTTTTTAACAAAATGTAAAAAAAAAAATATTTATTTGAAATTTTTAAGGTTACTTCCATTAAAATTGTAATTGTGCATCACGTTTGCTACCTCAGAAGTTCTATTCAAATTCTGAATTTGAATTAGAATTTAAACTGAGTAATTCTAAATTCAATTTCACACAACCCTGGATCCCAATATTCCGGATAACCTAGAAATACCAAGGAATTTTAAGTGTGATTTCCAGGCCTAGAAAAGTCATGAAAAAATGATTTCAAACAAGTCCTAAAAGCTCATGGAAATTTCTAACATTAATATTTAACTGATGAGACATTACACTTTGTTAGAGTGATGTAAAATGTATTTTTAAAATACCTTATCCAATCATCACAAACGACTGGAAAAGTCATAGAACTATTTTGGAAATTCATTGGTCTAAAAGTGTGGGATCCATATTGAGCACTGGAAATGACCAAACCACACATGACAAACGGTCCAAAACATACACACTTACACATACACGCTTTCAGGTAACAAACACCGGTAGATACACATGCAAGTTAAATGAATAATGCCCTGAGCACTCCCAACAGAAACGCAGTTACAACTTAAATGGAAAAAGCTGGCATATAAAATCAAAGCACATAAAACTGTTAGAAGCTTTATACATGTTTGATATTTTTGCCATTTTGTGAGACGCCTGATCGGCACAGACAGCAGCCGCGTGTCACTCGGAGTGGCATGTCATTATGTACAGGCCGTCCCGCCTGCAGCTCTAATACTGACACGGGTTATAGCGTGTTCCGCATGAGAGCCTCTCCTCATCTATACAGCATGCACACACACACTTGCAGGTGTTGCAGCACAGCCAACTTTTATCACACACACTCTATGTATCACTGTCATTTCTTCCACTGAATAACTTTCCAGCTTAGATTTGTCCTGATTTTATTTTGACATGTCATCAAGGCCTCTGCTGTGACATGAGGTGTGCTACCATGGTGACATTTACTTGCCACAGCCTTAAATTTGTTGGCACTTCATTTGGCTGTTTTACTCAATGTGTTGTATAGTGTGGTTGCCCTCTCACCCACAATGTTAAGTGATCAGGGCAAACGTCACTCTTCCTCCTCTCAGCTGTCAGAATCACAGCCATACCAATCTGATGATAATTTATAGCGTTTAGAAGAGATGCTAATCTGACTCCGATATAGGGGAATGAGGCATCTAATGATTTTTCTACTTACTTTTTTTTTTTTCAGGAGGTTTTAACTGCCCCAGTGTCTAACAACAAGGAAGAGAAGGTAAAACAGATCATGGTTATACAAATACAAAAGGAAACTTTGTTACACTCAAAATTTAATAAAAACCACTTGCTCTCAATTGCAGAAGGTCCTGTCTCGTCAAGAGGAGCTGAAGGAGAGGGCCAGGCTGCTATTGGAACAGGCCCGTAGAGATGCCGCCATGAAGGCTGGAAACAAAAGCACCACTAACGCACAGTCGCCTACTCACACTCCACAGATTATTGATGTGAGTTCACACACACACACACACACACACTTTACTTGGATATTGACATTCAGGAGAGATTTCTTTTTTTTACACTGTGACTTTTGAATGTTTTTGTGAGAAGTCTCTTATGCTTACCAAAACTTCATTTATTTGATTAAAGCCAAAACTTTCCCAAGCCACATCTCAACCAAGATAACTGGCTGCTCTGGATTAAGTCATGCGATTAAGTTATGCGGTAACGTTCGACCACAACACCAACTGAACGTAGATAAATTAAAAAGGATGTCTACATCTGTTCTAAGTTAAGTCAACAACGTATTTGAACGTTATCTTTAAAATCTCTTACGTAACGTTAGGCTAACGTTAGCCTAACATTAGAAAACTTTAACGTTAGCTTTTATCTGTGTTGTTCATCATGTCAAATAGCTTCATTAACGGATCTGTAAATAACCGAGATGACAAATGTTAACAATGTTGTGCTGAATGATTCATGTAAATACTGTAGCACCAAACGATGATGGCAACGATATGCGCTTTATCACATTTACACTGGGACCTGTACATTTTTGCCTGGAGCTGAAGCTTTTCATCAACCTTCTCAACAATAAAATTCTTAATATAACCCTCAAATGCATAGTTAAGGCCCTTTAGGTGACTTCGAGATGATATATAATCTTTCTGTATCCAAAAATCACCAATTGCCTCCTTTGAAATATCTCCTACTGTGACAGCTGCCATAGCGCCTGTCCCCAAATTGTGGATGTTCCCAAGAAGGGAGTTTTTTTCCAAATGAAACTAATTTCTTGGGACAAACTATTCCATAAACCATTGCCAAGTACAAATACACACCTAGAAGGTCCTTTCTATGTCTCCTCTCAGGACCTGTCAGACACGAAGTAATAGAGATTAATATTATTCTATAGCCGAGAGCCTGCATGCCAGAGTCTCTCATTTCACACAGGGCAAGTCTTTAAGGGTTACTCAAGGGTTCCAGGTAGTGATGTAGGAAGTGACCAGTCAGAGAACATCAAACTCTTCTGAGCTCAGTTCTGCAGGACGACTGACACTCGACGTCAAAAAGCTCAGGCCTCATCCGAATAACATTTCAGTTCTCCTGACATCCTGTTTTAGGGGAAGCATAGTGTGAAACGCAGTGGCATAAACATACAGAACAACAGGGGAGGGGTTTTCAGGACATGATGAAATATCTGGCGTGTGGTGGATTTATTCAGACGCTTTGCTGTATGAATTTTAAAAGGAAATGAGATGCCCTTGAATGAAATGCATAAGAAAGCAAAGAACAGGAACAGGAGGGCACCTCAGTGTGATGCTGCCATATATTAAGGGGTTTTTCAAAGAACAATATTTCTTTTTCTCACTGTGTCTATTCTCCTGCAAAAGTCCTCTGCGGTCTGATGAAGGGGAGATGGTCCTTATCCCGTAAATTAACCACGAATTAGCGTGCGTCTGTGTGTGTGTGCTCACAATGCCTCCATCCCAAGGACGATGTGCTAATGAGGCTTCAGTGCATTAGCGTGCCAGAATATTGAATTGTTTCACTTTTTAATAGAAAACATTGATCAAAAGGGAGCGTTGCTTGGCATGCTGGTAATTGTTAGTGATTTAGATTAGATTAGTTGATGTCTTGTTTTGATTAGTAGGCCCTGTTATCTTATCACTGGCCTCTGCATGAAGCTCCTCCGCTAAGAAGAGACTTTACGCTTTAGCATGCAGAGGGAATATTTTAATTAAATTAAGACTTGTTTCATTCTTTCAAAGTGTAGATAGAGATGGAGGGGTGAAAGTGAGGATGGATGAGAGCAAGAGAGTGAGTGAAGTCATTGGGGTGTAGTGAGCACTTTAGTATGGGCTAAAATACTGTGTGCTTCTGTTAAACGTTCTTGACATTCAGATAAAAGAATAGCAGGGAAGATTTGATTCGTTTTAGAATTAAAATTCAATGGAGGAGAAAGAGAAAAAAATGAAAGATTTGCCTACAAGAGAAAAGAAAATGGACCACAAAATTACACCACTGTTCAAACGTTTGGGGTCAGTAAAACATTGTTGTTGAAAGAAATTGATTATTTCAGGATCAAAAGTTGATCAAAAGTTATAGTAAATGCATAATTACATAAAACAAAGGTGTTTTGAACTTTGTATTCATCGAAAATCCTTAAAAATGTGAATAATAGTAATAAGAAATATTTCTTGAGCACCAGATCAGCATTACAATCAAACCATGGCAAAGCAGATCAAAATTCTGCTTTGCCATCACAGGAATAAATCACATTTCGAAATGTGAAAACATAGAAAATAGTTTTCATTTGTAATAACATTTCAAAATATTACTGTATAATTGATCAAATAAATGCAGCATTGGTGAGCATAAGCTACTTCTTTCAAAAACAAAGTTTTGCAACGATGTTATGTATATGACGGGGGGGGAGTTTGTCAAACCATTTCAAGGGGTCTTTTAAATAAAGCACTGCTTCTCCATGGTTGCAGTATTGTTAGCATACATACTTGATTGTGTGCGAAGATGGCCAGCGGGCCAGTCATTGTCCACAGTCAGTGGTGTGTATCAATGGGCCATCAGTGAGCCCACCCCTCTCATCAGAACTGCTCTGTGTGTGTGTGTGTGCTTCTCTTGTTCTTTTACATGCCATGTTAATTGTGCTCCATTGTGCTGCGATGGCTCTCTTGCTTTGATCTTTGTCACCACTGTCTGTCTCCCTCACACACTCTCTCTTTCTCTCGTTCGCTCACTGTCTCTCCTACTCATTACTAACCCTGTGTATGTGTGTGTTTAGGCCTTTGATAGTAAGCTAACGGTATAAATTGTTTAGTAGTGGTCATTGTACTATGGGTAGGTGGCCTTCAAAATCCATTAGGACCAAACCTCGGCGTCGCTCACATGTTCTTCACCCCCTGGTGAGAGCAAATCGCTAATTAATGAACAGTTAGAAAAAACACAGCGGCACAACGTCTCCTTCATGCTAGTTTACACATACGTGTACTTCTTAAGGAATGTTTCAGGCTTAATTTAAGTGCTATTAACATTTCTGGCACAGTGATAATTACTACAGCAAGATCTTTTAATTCCAGTAATTCCAAAAGGTTCATAATGACACTTAATCACCAGTGTTATTTTAGTATTTATTAATATTTAAATTAGTTTTATTTAGAAATTTTCAAGTTTTAGTAATTTGATGTGCTTTAAAAAAATACATATATTTATAAAAATATATTTTTATTTGAGTTTTAGTCATTTTAGCACTACTTCAGTTTAAACACATTTTATTTGAGCTAGGTGCCAAGGCAGAATTTCTTATTTGTGTTTGAGTCTAATATTTTATTGTTTAGTTTATTTCAGCTCGAACAGTCCTTTCCAGGTTACGAGTTATGATGAAAGAACTCCTGTAATTTCAAAATTTAAACCGTTTCTGTCACACTAGCTTCGTGCTAACAAGTTTTGTTGCTAAAATTTTAAAACGCTATTTTAATGTTTACTGCCTTGTCTTGTGTTACACTGTGCAATTTTAAAATTTAAGGATGATTCAAAATGACATTTTGTGGTAATTAACATTATGCCACAATTGCTGTTGATAGCTCATTCCTTTAACTCTCCCCCACTTTTTTCATTCTTTCATAGGCAAGACCTTTAAAAAAAAGTCAAGAGAATCTTCTGTTTCATTTTCCTTATTTTCTGTCCTCAATGAAGAGAAAGCCAGGGAGATGGAGCGATAGTATGTGGAAATGATTTTTATTTATGTAGTCCTTTAAATCATAAAAAGGGAGGGAGGGAGGCAGAAAAAGAGGACAGTGCATTTCCTCAGATTTTCTCAAGCATTAGTTGATCAGTGCAGTAATTTCACAGCGCTTTGGCCAGGGTAATTATGGAGGATACGGCGAGGGGGAGGAAAAAGAGAGGGAAAAGATTCCAGGTGAGCTTCCTCGTGTTCACTGGCTCGTTATGATTAGTTTAATTGGACTGTGTTTGATTTTTTTTCCGACGAGGCCCTGCTTCACCCTCCTGACTCTCTTCTCCGTCCTCAGCCCTCCCTCCCTCCCGCTCTGTGTGACAGTGCGGTGACTTTTCAGAGCCGCCCATGACCCTCCCTCTCAGAGAGAAACGGAGCAAACCTTTGAACTTGTGGCAGCCTCCCTGTGCGCTTGTGCGTGTGTTTTGAGGCAAACCGCTGCCTCTGTCATGTTCAGTTTTCTGCCTTGTTTAACTGCGACGTCAGTCGTAAAATCAACACGTAATCAAATATTTTGCTTTTTCTGTGTAAATCTGTTTTTCATGCTAACGCACGCACCACGTACAGCAGTATCTCTCTCTCTCTCTCTGTAGTCCACAGTCGTTAGCGTCTGCCCACCTCTGATGCGTGAGAGTCAGTGGGAAGGCCCGGGGAAGACCAATTGTCCCAGCAAGCACCAGAGACTCAGAGTTAATTGGGCCAATTAGGCCACAGTCGTCCTCCTGTTCTCTGTTCTTTGGGTCTGACGCCCTCAAACGATTCCCTCAGACTTTCAAAGGAACCGTGACTGTGCTTTCCATATGCATTTTAACATGCTGACGTGACTACACAGGCTCTCTCGCGCTGCATTCCGATTGTCTTTCTAGTTTGGAAACCTTTCTTTTTCTGGTGGAATCTCGTCTAATGAAACAGAATGGATAGAAGGTAGTTGAAGGGCTGTGAGTGTGGAGATCAAAGCGGTTGGTTGGAACAGAGAAACTGTTAGAGAGAGAGAGAGAGGGGAGAGAGAGACGCCCCTCCAATCTCTTCATGAGTTGTGATCAAGCCACTGCTCTCTCCGGCATTACGCACACACTGTTATTTCTCAGTGGGACTGTCTCCTCTTTTTTTTTTTTTTTTCATCTCTCTTTTTCTTTCTCTCCGTTTCCACCACAACAACCACTCTGTTCTTCTCTTTCACTACATCATTCCTTTCTCTCTTTCCCACCGCCCTTCAGTTTTTAACCTCATTCATATGTTGGTCTCCTATGAATAAAA